GCACCCCCCCCCCCCTCAGCAATGAGGACGAGCCCAGGTGTAGGATCTCCGTCGAGGAGAAGCGCGTCCATGTCGGCTGCGAGCTCGCCGTCCTACGCCAGAAGGAGATCTTCAGCGGCGGACAATTGCGGTGGATCGACGCCGCTGGACTCCGCCTCCCGCAAGTCTCTTTCCTCCTCTCGCTCCATGTTCGCTCTCCTCTATCCCTTCCTTCGTTATATAATCGCCCTATTGTTGTGATCACTGGTTTTTTATGTTTCATTTAAGCATCTTCTGTGTTCAATGTTCATACACATATGGCCTGTAAATTAAAAAAAAAAAACTGAAACAATTAATTTTGTCAAATTCTCTCTGGGGTATGGCGGAATAATCTCAACAATGTATGAATGTCAAGAATCATGAATTATAGCCCAGAAAATATGACAAAGTGATTACCCCATTACGGTGGCTATTGATTAGGAGCAAAAGCTATTGCTATGAATGTGATGTGTGAGAGAGATTTAAAAACTAAAATTTGAATAAATAATGCAACAAATTTTGTTTTAGTTTTAAGAGAGTCTGTATCTTCAAACACTTCATCGCATTGCTCCTTCGCCTTGGCGATTTACCATGGGCCCCATCAGGTCAACATATGAAATACAAAGTACTAATTATGTCTGGATTTGTAGCGTGTTTCCACACTAAATTCAATTTTTGAAGAGTCATGTTTAGGTAGCCAAGTTTGATCCCGAAGTCTTTACAGACAAAGAACATTGTTCCGCAAGTGTCTTTTCTCCTCCCACTCCATGTTCGCTTTCCTCTATCTCTTCCCTCATTATATAATTATTGCATTATTGTGATGACTTGGTTTTTTATGTCTCAGTTAGGTGTCTTCTGTGTTCAATCTTCGGTTTCGCAGGAGTCAATTTCAATTAATCGATGCTTTCTTACATTGATTAAAAATATTGAGGCCAAGTCAATCTAGATTCTAGGTCATACGCCAATAGGCTGCAACTAACAAAGAGCTCGCAGTTTTTTATGGTTTAATGTGGCCAAAATGCCAGAAAGCTACATCGATATCTGTGTGTGCAATATAAATAAAAAAACTCCATATACTTTATAACTCTCCGTATCATATTTTCAATCGGAATACTGTAACATATTCTTCTAGGTGGATGCATGGTTGAAAAAGTATTTCTTTAAGATCCTTGTAACAAGAGCGATAAACTCCGCATTTGAAGTTGACAACCTTGAGCTTGAATCTATGTCCCAACGACCCAACCAAGTCAAAGTTGGAATGTGTTAAAATGCCTTTAAAAAGAAAAAAACATGTGACATTACTTTTGGTTCATTCATTAACCGCTGAGTGATAAGTTAGGATAGCTGCCATTTCACTTCTTCCATCTCTCTTGTGCCTTTTAATCTATCTGGATGTTTTTTTGAACTCTTAATCATTTCAGTTCCTTATGTAAATGAAGTACTTGTTGGGCTTGATTAAAATAGTCAAAGGGAAAGAAATGAAAGGGAAAAAAAGGAAAAAGAAAGGAGTATGTGCAATGTGCTTTCAGCAGAAATTTGCGGCTAGAAGTTGAGATTTGCTTTATGACTTCTTTTACTTGTTGCCGAAGTGTTTTGCTATATAATGAGCCATGGGTTTTAGGATGCGTGTGTGTGTGTGTTTGTGTGCATCTAACTAGATGGTCTGTGCACAACACTACAGAGTTCTAACAATTGGTGTGGACTTATGCTCTTAAAATCCCAACAGTGCTATAGTTTTACTGTCAGTTCAGGTACACAATGGGAAGATGTTGATTGAAATTTTGTGATTATGAACATAAATACTAGAAACGCACCTGCTTTGGTCTAAGTATGCTTTTCAATGAATTTTTTTTTATAACTCATTAATTTATTCTGCCACTAATTTGGAGCAGGGGACTGACTGGGGAAAGGACAGTGAAGAGATTGCGTCTGTCAAAAGCTCTTACAGTACCTGAAACAACAACAATATATGAGGCTTGTCGTCGTATGGCTGCTCGCAGAGTTGATGCTTTATTGCTGACTGACTCAAATGCATTGCTATGTGGGATCATGACAGATAAGGTTTGACTTTAGTAATGTTTGGTACTTCTAAACACCAATGAACCAAGCAGAACAAGTGTACTAGTCTAATGGTTCTTCTTGGAATGCTGAACATGGATGTCTTCTCTAAACTTTATATCCCTTTTTTTTGTTTATGTGAATGAAGGATATTGCAATAAGAGTAATTGCTCGGGAAGTTAATATTCAAGAAACACCTGTTTCTAAGGTTATGACAAGAAACCCGGTGTTTGTACTCTCTGACACCCTTGCTGTTGAAGCCTTGCAAAAAATGGTGCAAGGTATGGTTTTTTACTTTCTACTTCATGTAAGATAGAATCTCACTTATAACAATGTCCCCTCATTTGCCTGCAGGAAAATTTAGACATCTGCCAGTTGTGGAAAACGGTGAGGTCATTGCTTTGCTTGATATAGCA